TTTGGACAGTTTACCAATGCTTATACACTGATAAACAACATTTATTCAACTTCCATCATTATACAACATATCTGTCAGTTATCTGTCATTATGAACTTCACTGATTATATTATAATAAATTATATTATATTTTATATATATACTGTATACTGTCTGTTAGTTTTTTTTATTTCCAGGTCTGTAATAAACATATTTCCGATATGTCTTTTAGCTCTGGTCCATGTGAAGCTGTGGGCAATCGACCGTCAGTGTTACCAGACCATCATGATGAGAACTGGACTCATCAAACACGCCGAGTACATGGACTTCCTCAAGAGGTGACTGCACACACAAAAACAGCCAGTAGAAAACCCACGAGCAAGGCACCAACTGTTAGAGGTTCAAACCCCACAGATACGATCACTTTGTCAAACACTCATTCAAGTTACAGCCCTGGTTTTAGCGCCCCCTGTGGTTAGTAATGGAACAGCTGATTTGAATTAATTGTAAGCTGGATAGTTACATATGATAGCTAATGTTAGCGAAACACTAGCTAACTAGCTATAACATTTACATAAATTGTTAGACTTCATCGACAGAACCAGTAATTTTACCTCGAAGGTAATTGTAAAAACCCTCTTCAAACTGGAAAGACACAAAATAAGGATATAGTATAATTATAATAATAAGTTATATAGAAAGCCAATGTTAGCAAAATGTTAGCAAACTAGTTAGCTTGTGTTTTGCTAACGTTATCTAGTGTAAGATTATATTATATATATGTCTCTTTTATCTTTGAACCATCTTCAAAATGTGGTTGTCTTTCAGACATAGATTAGCCTAGCATATAGCATATCTAAGTACGGGAAAGAAGTCGTTGACCGAGGCTACAGAAGGGGGCGGGGCTTAGGGAGGGTTAATTAATATATAGACATTGTTGAGTGAAAAATAAATAATGTGTCTCTGCAGTGTTCCCACCTTCCAGGGTCTCCCAGAGGAAACTCTCAGTAAACTGGCCGACGTCATGGAGGAGGTGAGAAAAACAAATATCTGTCTTCTTCTTTAGTGGAATCAGTGTGTAAATCCTCCAATCAAACGCTCACTTCTGTCTGCTCAGACTCATTATGAGGACGGAGAGTACATCATCAGACAGGGAGCCAGAGGAGACACCTTCTTCATCATCAGCAAGGGAAAGGTAACGCAATCACTCCAACAGCCCTCGTATTGATTTGCCGACTCGTCCCGATCGTCTGCTGATAGCTGTTAATCACATCTCCTGTCAGGTGAACGTGACCCAGGAGGATCCAGCCAATCAGGAGACAACACACCTCAGAGAGCTCAGCAGGGGAGACTGGTTTGGAGAGAGAGCGTTGCAGGGGTAAGATTATTGTGACCTGAACCCTTAATATCTGAATATATTAAGATGGAAGACAGAAAGATGTCAGTGGTTGTATCCGGATATTCTGGCTTAATTTTTGTACAGCGGGAGGAAGTGAAGACGTCCGTCTTTTATATGTTGATGGTCGAAACACGCAATTACTAAAGCTGCTTCTTTTCACCTTTTTTTGACCCCAAACAAGAAGCAAATGTTCCTGTTACCCACAGGATCATTTACCCAAATTAATCAGATATTTCTTTATATATTCTTGATTTAATATCAATAAATGGATCAATATGATGCTGAAATAATGACATCATGATGCTGATATATAAAAAGTCTGAATTCAAACTCTGTCTTCAGTTATTGAGGGTCAAAGGTCAGTCGGCTCGTAATAACCCCAAATCTCCTGGACTGTCTGACAGGAAATGAAGTTAACAGGAGAGACGCAGTTTATTAAAGGTCTGATGGATGGTTGGTGTGTGTTTTCAGGGACTTTTATCTTTGTGAGGACCCGCAGACAGAAGGGTTTTTATTATGTTAGTTTTATTGTATTATAGTTTGTTTTATTTGCCTCAATTTTACAGTCTGCAAAGGTTGTATTAATGCTATTAATGCACATCAAGGGACTAACTTTTCCCAAAATCAATCAATCTAACCCCCTTTAGTTCATAAAATAGATTAAGAAGGCAAAAATAAACAAATAAAATCAATAAAAAAGAAAACAGTTTGAAAAAAAAAACAGAACACAGAGTTCGACTGAGCTTCTCAGACGCTTCTTTAAAAATACTCTGAGTAGACATTTTAGACGCTAAAAATCTTGGTTTCCATTTTTCTTTTTTAAGTTTAAGTTAAGTTGTCTTATAGAATACACGTCATTTTACTGACATTTCTTTTCCCTTTAATTTACATATTTGGTGTGGAGGTAATCCAAAAGTACCAGAAAATAAAACAGAAAGTAATCAAGTTATGTTACTTTGATGTGATACTTGTATTAGGTTACTGACTACTACATTTCTACACAAATTCATTAGATACATTTTTAAAAATAATGTCTTAAAAAACATAAATTAATGTTCACATTTTAGAGTTCAATAAAAAGTCTATTTGTTTATATCACATTTAAAATGTTTCACTGAGCAGTCATGAGATTGTCTGAGATCTCTCTGAGAATCTGAGATTTTTCATGCAGTACTGACCGAAGAGAAAGCACAGCACTCATGCACACGCTAAAAACATGTAAGATGGCGTGTGCTAAAAGCCCGGCAGCATCAATCTTAAGAGTGTTAGGACACATAGCAGACCGCCGTCACAGCTGCTGCTAATTGGTTTAAAGTGCGTTTCAGTGTTTCCTCCGGGGAGTGCTCTTTACAATTATGTCTCTGTGGAGACCAGAGTTTACACCTGCACAGGGGGGACATTTCTGCAAAGTGGGGACCTCTGATTCCTCAGCACTGTCTGCGTTATCTGAGGAATGCCTCGGGGCAGTTTCTTCAAATTTGGCACAAATGTCCACTTGATGAACTTGGGAGCTCTGATTCTTAATATCGGCCATTGAAAAAACCTGTATCGGTTGGCAGCTAGTGCTGCATTCACATGGATTCAGGCAGACAGACAGTAAAACGAAACACGCTTGCTATGGTGATGTCATATTGTTTACAAAACAATTATAAATGTATTAAAACAAATAATTTGTGAATATTATTTTATGTAATGTATTTATTATTAGCGTCTCGTTGTCCAGATTTTCCGTGTTTTCTCCTCCTGTGAAGGAGTTTTATATTCCAGACCATTACACTTACCGGTATTCTCACCTAAGTTTACTGTTGTGCTCTCACCCACTAACATCTGGTTCACCGTCGATCGTTTGCCTGAATCCATGTGAATGCATCGTCGTCTGCAGGAACCTAATGGAAGTCTGTGTCCCCAAAAGTGACAAAGTACAAATGTGTGTGTGTGTTATGTATCCACAGGGAGGACGTGAGAACAGCCAACGTCATCGCTGCCGAGGCCGTCACCTGCCTGGTCATCGACCGAGAGTAAGCACACACACACACACACAATCTAAAATCAGATTTCTGAACCTTTAAAATGTGTCAACAATGTCAGTTTGTGTCAGAAAACTTGACTCAAAGATGTGAAACTGGAGTTTGTCCTAAAATAATGTGAAACTGACGTATAAATAATTTTAAATTGCCCTCAAACGAGTAAAAACTTGGACTTACGCACACACACATATCCTTGTGTCACTATATTAATGAGAACCTGTCATTGACAGTATTTATTCCTTCAACCAATACATGTATAAACACATACGTATGTCCATTGGCTGGGTGTTACCACACACTCAGCACTAGCTGCTATTAGCTGCCTGTTTTTACAGGATAAATACAAGGAAGCAAACAGCACTCTGCTTCCTTTTTCATGTGGACTTTGCAGTATTTGTACACTGTGGTATCAGTACTTTCACTGTAGTAAAAGATGTTTACTTCAGTACAGTTCAGAGTAAACTGAATGAGCTGAGACTGAAAATATGTTTGTGATTTGGTTGAACTGAATGGGTTTAGGTGTGTTTGTGTGTGTGTGTGTGTGTGTGTGCTGCCCTCTGCTGGTCCTCACAGCTAACTGCACACTCACTGTGTTGTATCTTGATCACAGTGTTTGGGTCTGTCGCTCTTAGAGGAAATGGATTTATTTATGACATCTGTCAGTCATAGGCAGACGTACAAACAACTACAGAAAGAGTCTGAACCACTTCAGTCTGTTTTCCAGAACAAAATGTTGACAAAATGGAGACCCAGACTGAACATTCAACTCTGTACTCAACAGTTCTGTCCAGATTGTGGCTAAAATAAATTATTTAGTCTCAAACAATCACACATATTAATATTATGTTACAATCTGTGTGCTGATTGGCTGTTTCTTACTCCTCAGCTCATTCAAGCATCTGATTGGTGGACTGGACGACGTTTCCAATAAAGGATACGAGGACGCCGAAGCAAAAGCCAAGTAGGTTTAATAAACAAGTAAGAAATGTATATTACAAGTACGCAGCGCCATTGTGCTCAAACATCCGCCTGTAGGAACAGGAAGGAACAGATTTCTGACTGAAGGGGACTTTGAGGAAAAGGTTGGCTTTGGTGTTGCAACCAGAATCCTTTCCTATCCTTGCCTATGGTGGTCTGCTCCGGGTCCAAGATCCAGAGAGCCACGAGCCGGTGAGAGCGAGGAGAAAAGTGGCGTTTCGTGGACCTGGTCATGGCGTCTGACCAGCAAGTAAATATAACAGCTTGCTTTTCATAATAAAAGTTGAATTTAAATAATACCAAATCAACAAATTCATCTAAAAATAGTAAAAACAAAATTGTGGAGCTGCAACGAATCATTGATTAGTTTGTTAACAGAAAACTAATTACAAAAAACATGTTGATACTTTTTCAACAACTAGACTAGAACTCCGACAGGGAATTCAGTACCACAGTGGTTTTCTGGCCGGGTTTGGCTCCTGGCATCCCGTTAGTCAGTTAGCTTAACTGCACGGCTGACCGAGCTGACAGCAGTTAGCGGTTGGCTACTTAGCTACTTTAGCTAAATCCAATTCTAAGCTACATCAGTAAACTCTGTGAATCACAGAGAGTTGAAGCTGAGTAGCCGGAGGACGTCAGAGGGAAAACCAGGAAATATTTTCTCCATAAAATCTGATCCAGTTTCACCAAAATCACTGAATGTAGCTATAAAGTAGGTCTTTGTACAGTAATCAGTGAGGTCATATATGTCTGTAACACATCAGCCCTCAGAAAGCGTTTGATTGGAGGCAGCATTAGTATACGCCCCCGAGTGCAGGATGAGTCATCAATTACTTTTATTGATTATCAGGAAACTGTCTTTAAGAACACCTGAAGATACCTGAAACAGGACTTCCTGTCCCTGTTGGACAGAAACTGGAGGACAGGAGACTTTGGACCTTTGTCATATGTTTCCTGAGGTTTGTTCTGTGTGAATGTTTACAGCAGTAACTGGAGCCGCTGTACTGCTTATGTAAGAACAGCTAATAATACTCTGGGCAGTTGGAGCCACAACCAGGTCGCACTGAAGGACGCCAACTGATTACTGAAGACTCAGTGAAAGTGTGTGATTGTTCTCTCGGGTCGCTGCGACAGCAGCTCAAGTAAGGATGAATTTCTGACATAAATATATTTCCAGACGGCGGGCTCGTCACTGTGCTGCAATGTAAATCAATACTTCTGATCAGGCCGGGATAATCACACACACAGTCATGTGTTGTGTCAGATGACTGTTGGTCATGTGACAGAATTAACTCATCTCCTCTTATGGTATAGATTCAATGGTGTGAGGTGTCAAGCCGGACTGTTGCTATGGTAACAGTAAACAGTAAACAGTAAACATGGGGGTGTGTTTGTCCTTCGGACCTGCTGCCGCTCGCTGTGTCTGAACTCAGGATCACATTTACTGTACTTTCATTTCATCAGTGTGTAGTGTAGGAGTTAGTGGCATCTGGTGGTGAAGCTGCAGATTGCAACTAACTGAACACCACTGGCATCTGTTTTTGAAGACCTGGGAACGAGAACAGGCTGCAGGGCAACTGTAGAAACATGGTGGACTCTGACAGAAGAGGACCCTCTCCCTCTGTAGATAAAACGTCTTATTCTAAGGAAACAAAAACACAATGAGTCTTATTGTCAGCTCATTAAACACTAATGAAAACATGGATATTATATTATATTATGTTACACACTGGAGCTTTAACGACGTGTTCAAGACAGAAACAACCACAAAGAGACCAAAGTGGAGAGAAACTAAATAAAACTTTGTCTTTCCAACAATCACAAACCTTAATGTGGGAATGCTTTCTCTGTTTTAATTTCTAGTAGTTTATATAGTTTCATCATGAAGCCTCTCAGTCTTCAGCAGGGTGAAAGTCTCTCTAACAGCTCATCTCTCTCTTTCTCACTATAACAAACTATTTTTAGACTGTTTATGTGT